TTTTAGCAAATTCTTTTTTATAGCAATCTACTCCTTAATATAAGCTATATTCCCTCTATAAAAATACTTTTTTATATACTTAAATCTAAGTATAGTAATATTATTAAGCTAGTTATTAAAGTATTATATAATACTTAATTTTAAATATATTTCTCTTTTAATAATTAGATATTAAAATTATATATCTTTTTTCTTAGAATTAATATTTAATGTATTAATTATAACTTTATTTAATATTAAATTCTTCTTAAGCTTTAATCTTTCCAGGGTAAATATAACAGTATATTACTTACTAATAAAATTGCTAATATACTTATATTTTAATAAATTAATAACCTTAATAAGATTAGGTACTTTATACTTAATAATACTACTAATAATAATACCTATATTAATAATCTTATATTTAAATATAGCTTCTCCCTTAAGAAGTAGTAAATTTACTATATAATATATATTTTTAACCTCTATATATAAGCTATACTCTATAGCTTAAAGTAAGAGAGCTTTACTATAATTATAGTAGCTAATAGTAATAATTAAAATAATAATAAATAGTAAATTAATAAAGTAATTAATAAAGCTTTAAATAGAAAAATAGATAATAATATAAATAAAAAGGTAAATATTAATAATATTATTAATATTTCTAATAAAAACTTATTATTATTTTATTTAGCTTTAAAAGAGATTAATAACACTACTTTTAGAAAGTATAGCTAAAATAGCACTCTAAAAATACTTTATAATATTAAAATTCAGCTATAAGTAAGTTTATAATTATATAAGTAGTTTTTTTAATCTTAATATAAGTAATCCAATAATAAATCTATACTCTATTAGATTTATAATAATACTACCTAATAGAACTTAAATATATATATAATAAAAAGAGCTTTTCTTCTTTATTTAGTACTTAATATATTCTTTAATAATATTTAGAATTAATAGAAAATTAAGAGAGCTTATAAAAAGATAAAGCTAGTAATTTTATAATATTAGCTAAGTATATATAACTAAAAGATTATTAAAATACTTATTAAACTTTTAAAGTTTTTTATAATTACTATTAAGTAACTTTAAAATAATAATATTTTTAATAAGAAATTAACTTATAGTAATTTTAATAAGTACTTTTTTATTTTTAAGATTCTATTTAACTACTTTAAGAGTATTATTAAAGAAATAATTTATAAAAAAGTAAAAAATTTAATAAATAAGAAAAGTAAGAATATTAAGATTACTATTTATAATAAGCTTAATAACTAAATTTATAAATTACTTAAAATTTATATTAAGCTTAAATAAAAGAAATTATATAAGTATTATAACTATCTAATTAATATTACTTATATAAGTATTATTATCTTTAATTTAATTAAGAAGTAATATCTTCTTAATTAACTATAATTTTAAGTACTATTTTATAAAATTAAGAGTCCCTTAATAAGGGAATTTAGTATTTGAATTTACTGTATTTTTATTGTGTATATATTACAGTTACTAAGGCCTAAGTTTTAAGTTTTAAGCTGCTTTTTTCTTCTCTACTAGAATTCTATCTAACTTTTTTAACTCTAACCTTAATAATTATACTAAAAACTCCTACAACCCAACTTAATACCCCAAAATCCCCAACACTAATAATAACCTATTTAAGTTATTTAAATCCCCTCTCTAGCTAGCATCCTATATAGCTAGTATCTATACCAACCCAATATAATATAACAGCTCTTAGAACCAGGAGTTATATTAAGCTCTGGTAATATTCTAGAGGAAGACTTAACCTCTTAAATTAAAATTATTAATATTTTTAGCTAAGTTATAAAATATGCCTATTTCTATTTGGATATATAAGATAAGACTGTAGATAAGAGTTTAATTTTCTTATCTATTAACTCTAGTCTTATTATTAAGAAGTAAATAGCATCTAAAAATAGCTAATACAATCTATTAGCTTCTATTTAGATATTATAGATAGTATAGTAATAGCTTAAATAGATTTTCTTTTTTAAGAAAGCTTAAAAGGAAATTTAGCTTTTATCTTTCTAATTTATCTTTTAAATTCTAAGAGAATCTAATATTATATTAGAGTTGGAATCTATAATATAAATATAATAAGTTATCCCTAGAAAGAGCTACTTAAATAAAATTTGCTATATTAAAAATTAGTTATAATAGAATAAGTATTAAAAGGGAAATTAATTTCTTAATAATAGGAGATGTTTTTCTTATATCCTATTACTTAAAATAAAATTACTATCTTAAGGTTATTAACTATAGATAGTAAGGTTATTAACTATAGATAATAAAGTTAAAGTTAGAGGGGTTAAATAGAAGCTTTAAGTAGAGACTAGTAGGTAATAACCTTATTATTTAGCTACTATTTCTTTTAGTACTAAATATAGCTCTTATTATTTATTCCTACTATTTAAGATTACTATATAGCTTTAATCTATCTTATAATATTAAGTAAAGCTAAAAAAAAACTAAATAAAATTAAAAGTTAGTAATTAAATTATAAAAAGAAATTCTTAGAAATCTAGAATAATTATAAGAAGTATAATATTAAATATAAAGTTATTATTATATTTAATAAGATTATAATAAACTATATTAAGTAGAAATTTATAAGAAGTATAACTAGCTAGTTATTTATTTAAATTTTATTTTTTATAGTATTAAATAGCTATAAGAATACTTATAAAATAAAATAAATAATTATAGTAATAATAAATAATAATAAGTATATTTAATATTATACTAAAAATATTATTAATAGCTATTATTATAGAAGTAAATTAATTAACTAATAAAAAATTAATATTAATAAATACTTATAGCTATCTTTAATAGCTATTAATATACTTACTATTTTATTATTATTTATAAAAAATAAAAAAATATTTAGTAATATAAAATATATAATAATACTATTAAGAAATTAATTAAAAAGAAAGATAGTAATAATAACTTAATATATTTAATTATAATTCTTAATAAGGAAATCTAATATTTAAATTTACTATATTTTTATTATATATATATTATAGTTACTAAAGCTTAAGTTTTAAGTTTTAAGCTGCTTTTTTCTTCTTTACTAGAATTCTATCTAACTTTTTTAACTTAGTTTAACCTTAATAATTACACTGAAAACTCCTATAACTTAACCTATAATTAAAATACTCTAAAATCCCTAATACTAATAATAACCTATTTAAGTTATTTAAATTCCCCTTTTAGCTAGCACTCTATATAATTAGTATCTATACTAACTTAATATAATATAATAGCTTTTAAAATTAGAGGTTATATTAGGCCCCGATAATATTTTAAAAAAAAACTTAACTTTTTAAATTAAAATTATTAATATTTTTAGCTAAGTTATAAAGTGTATCTATTTCTATTTAGATATATAGAATAAGATTGCAAATAAGAATTTAATTTTCTTATCTATTAATTCTAATTTTATTATTAAGAAGTAAATAGTATTTAAAAATAGCTAATACAATTTATTAGCTTCTATTTAGGTATTGTAAATAGTATAGTAATATCTTAAATAAATTTTCTTTTTTAAAAAAGCTTAAGAGGAAATTTAGCTTTTATTTTTCTAATTTATTTTTTAAATTCTAAGAGAATTTAATATTATATTAAAGTTAGAATTTATAATATAAATATAATAAGTTATCCCTAAAAAGAGCTACTTAAATAAAATTTACTATATTAAAAATTAGTTATAATAGAATAAGTATTAGAAGGGAAGTTAATCTCTTAATAATAAAAAACATTAATCTTTTTTATATTTTATTACTTAAAATAAGATTACTATCTTAAAGTTATTAATTATAAATAGTAAGGTTATTAACTATAAATAATAAAATTAAAGTTAAAGAAGTTAAATAGAAGCTTTAGGTAGAGACTAGTAGATAATAATTTTATTATTTAGCTACTATTTCTTCTAATACTAGGTATAATTCTTATTATTTATTTCTACTATTTAAAATTACTATATAGCTTTAATTTATCTTATAATATTAAGTAAAGCTAAGAAAAACTAAATATTTAATTATAAAGTAAAATAAAAATTTATAAGTCTTTATTACTTCTACTTAAATTTAGTAATAACTAATAAATTAATATACTTATATTATTAAAAAAAAATATATAGCTAAGAATCTATTTCTTAATAAAAAATTAATATATTTTATAATATCTCTACTAATTAAAATTTATTATATCTAGAAAAACTAACTCTATAAAACTTTATCTTTACTAAAATAGCAATATTTTTTTAATATTTTCTACCTTTACTAAAATTAATTATATAGTAAATTAAACTTAAATTAAATTTAATTAAATCTTAATATTTAATTAGTATTAAATCTATTAAGAACAGATTCAATTTAATTTAAATCTACTAAAGTTATATTTAATTTAATTCAAATTTATATAATAAGAAAAAATACATATTTAATTTAACACAAATCTATAGAAGGCATATTCAATTCGATATAAATATACAAGAGATATATTTAATTCGATTCGAATTTATAATAGTTGTATTCAATTTAAATACCAAGGCTTAGCATTTAATTCGATAGATTTGTAAGATGTCCAACCCTGTTCTATACATTGGGCTCAGCCTTAAAAGACAGGGGCTAGATTGCAGTAGCTATGTCTAGTCGATCTGTGGCTTTTGTGCAATTATAAGCCCCTCGTCCCGTACCTATAATCATCCACCGGCCCTCCGTCATAGATTTATCGGATAGCTATTGAACAAAGCAGGGCATGACTAGCCTGGGGAATGAAGAGATATACTCGAATAGTTTGGTTTGTCTAAGGATAACTTTTAAGGCTTACAATCTATCTCCAATAAATTGTCTGAATTGGATTATGTTTCCAACAACCCTGGTAAGAGGCGTCATTGCAGAGAACGGCGCTGGTTCTCATTCGTGGCGTATGTCAATGGATCCGGGCTAATGGGACGGTGTTACGCGACCATCTTAGGCAAGTCGGTTTTTGACCAAGGTAGTCACAAGCTGCAAGTATATCAGCATATCAGTGACAGTTCAATAACCCTACGGAGGTAGGAGTCTATCACTTACCTCAAAGGCAAACTCGGCCGCAGCTACCCCCGTAATCTCGGAAGTGTCCATTCCCGGGAGCACCTCGACAACATCGACACCCACAATATCGAGACCTGCCAAGGCCTCAATAATGATCTGAATTACTTCGCGTGGAGTCCAGCCCCCGGATGCCGGGCCCGCAGTTCCAGGGGCGTATGCTGGGTCTAGAACGTCTACATCGAGTGACACATAGACAGGATTGTCGCGTGGGACCACTGACCGGATCCCATCGATGACCGCGCGGAGCCCTCCTTCACGCAGCATGGCAGAAGCAGGAATGATAGAAAATCCGAGCTTAGAGTCAAGCTCAATGTCGGCAGCGGAGTTGAGGGTGCTGCGGATGCCTGCATGTACCGATGAGTCCTTGGCGAGTAGACCCTCCATGCCAGCCCAGTAGTACGGAGTGCCATCAGCAACAGCAGCCTGAGGGCTAGGCGAGCCATGAGAGCCTGCAAAGACCTTTGGAGACCAGGTGTCAATGTGAGCATCAATGTGGATAGCCGACATTGGGCCATGCACGGCATGCAGGGCTCGCAGGATTGGAAGGGAGATGCTATGGTCGCCACCCAGAGCAACAATTTGCGGGTGTTTCTTGCCAGTCTATAATGCGTGAGCGGGGGTTCCGGTACTGGTAATTGGAGTATCGCATCTTGCCGTTGCAGCAGTTGAGAAAGGCACATACAATCTTGGAAGTAATGCCGCTGGTGTTGTTCTTCACGTCACGGTGCAACAGACGGGTATACCACTCCTCCATCTGGGCAAAAGCCAAGGCATTGTCAAATGGGGAGATGGGGAAATCCCCACAATCGACGATGGAGATGTTTTGGGTGAAGGGGTTGATGGACTGTCGGAAGTTGTAGTGGCCCCTGTGAACGCAAATCGATCGTCAGTCTCAATCGGATAAGCAAGAGGATCCAAGGAAGATCAACATACGCCAGAGATACAGCTCTCGAGCCTTGACGGATCGCATTAGGTCCGAACCTCGTGCCGGTTCTGTAGGAAGTAGCCGTGTCGAAAGGGAATCCGACCAGTAGAATGTCACCCACGGGACCCTCAGTAGTGAGGCAATCGGCAGAAGGGAGCTGCGCAAAGGTTGTGATACCAGAGAACGCATATTTGGCTGTTGGCTCCAAGTCAAAATCGTCGTTATTCTTGTGCGCGTTCGTGATGAACGGATGTTGATCAATGAGGGAGGCTTTAGGGAAGGTCGGGATTGCAGATGCAACTCCTAGGAGCGCACCCACGACTAAAGACAGATGATGCATGATTAAGGGTAAAAGTACAACTTTGGAAGCTTGCAGCAAAAGCTAGTGGTCATGAAGGTGTGGCAGAACCTTGATTATTTATATTCTGGAGCCGTCAGGTCTGACAACAGCGAAACTGGCTGGAGAGCTTACTGGCAGAGATTCGATGAGTGAAACATGATGAAATGAATGGATGATCAGTAACCGATCTGTTATCGCCAGTTTGATGGCCAGGTGCGATGCAAACGCTAATAGGCTAGACTTTCCCCAATAGGAAAGGATTCGAAAACATCACGTCTTCCGCTAGTTACTTTGCCGAACTGTTGGTGGACAATGAGCAAAGACATGCTGAAAACAGGTTAGGCCTGCTCGCTCTTAATCATTGATGATTCTTGAAGGCGTTGCTGTACAAAACCAGGCCTAAATACGAAATTTCTATCTTCCTGCACTTGCCGAGGCGTGGGCTCCTTCAAATCTCTCGTCAACGTTCTCTTCAACGCTTTATTCAAACATCTCATCTACCCTCCAGTCAAGTCAATTTTGGTGATCCTGCAAAAACATCATGTCTGTGGACGGATATTCCGAAGAAACGCCGCTGCTCGTAGGAGCTGGATCTCGGTCATCCGAGAGGCGTCTGAAGTTGCATCTCGAGTGTCTAAACCTCAGTCGAGCAACAATCCCAATATCAGCGTCCTTTGCGCTACAGAACATTGTACAAGCATTCAGCGTTGTCACTGCAGGGAGTCTTGGACCATCACAGCTCGACATCGCTTCGTATGGTTTTATGTTTGCGACATGCACCGGTAGTATGATCGCCATTGGAGGAGCTACGGCTCTCGACACATTGTGCGGCCAAGCGCTCACCTCGGTCAAGGCGCAGAACGACCCGACGATATTGGGTCATCACTTGCAGCAAAGTTTGTTCGTTCTCAGTTTCATCTTTATTACTCTCATCACACCGCTATGGATCATTTCCGGTCGGATATTTCTGCTTCTCGGCCAAGAGCCCGGGCTCGCACTGGGAGTTGGCAGATTTCTAGTCCTCATGCTACCAGCTGGATATTTACAAATGGTGGCAGAGACATTGAAGAAGTTCAGTCAGGTCCAAGGCGATAGCTATGCTGTAGGATGGATAACAGGGGTGGCCGCTGCAGTTGGAGTTCTGTCCAATGTGTTGCTTGTCAGGCTGTCCCCTCTCGCTGGCGACGGTACTGCAGCATCATTCTTCATTTACCAATTCTGCACGGTGTTGCTTCTTTCCGTGTTAATTGTGCACCAGCAAACGAAGAAGAAGACGATCAGGCTCATTTCCAATGGGGCAGAGTTATTTACCGGGCTGTTTACGAACCTTGGCCTCGCAACAACGGGTATACTGACCATTGCGACTGAGTGGTGGAGGTAAGAGAGTGTACTCAAACGTCGAAGAAAAAAGTACTGAAAGGGTGCAGTTTTGAAATATTGGCCATCATGGCTGCCCGGCTAACGCCGAACGAGATCAGCGCACAAAGCGTACGTATCCCACATGTACTTCGAATACGGAACAATACCATCATATGCCGGTGAAAGAGGTTTGTAGCTGACGGAAAGGACTAGATTCTCATGTCTGCCGACCTCATCTTTACCACAATGTCGCTGGGCCTCGGTGTTGCGGCAAGTCATCGTGTCGGCAGTCTTCTCGGCGCGAACGAGCCCTTTATCGCCCGTCAAGCAGCCCTGGCACCCTATCTTGTCGCCGTTGTCCTAGGCGTCATTGAATTTGCAGTCATTCTCGCATTCCGCTCCCAATTCGGCCGCGTTTTCACTTCCGACCCAGATGTCGTGGCCTCCACATCCAAAGTGCTGCCATACATGGCCGCCTTTCAGCTTCTGGATTTGTCCAACGGCGGGGCTGGTGGGATACTGCGAGGAGCTCGCCGTAATCATTTGTCTGGAATGTGTAATTTCTTTGCTTATTATGGTGTTGGATTAACCACGGCGTGGGTGTGGTGCTTCCGCTCCGGGCTCGGCCTCGTGGGCTTATGGGCGGGCATCATCACGGGCAGCGGGGCGCTTTTGTTGCTGCAGACCACTTGCGTCCTGCTCTTACCCTGGGAAAGTGCGGCACGGGTGGCTTCTGAGGGTCATAATCACGATGGCTAAGAGCGTGTATACTGAAGGCGGATCTAGGATACCCAGAGGTAGCCAACTGCGAGTGGCCTGACTAGCAGAGGAGGTTGCGGCGAAGGTGTTTTCAGCGGCCCCGCCCCTACTCGTTGGGAACGACCGTCTTGGCGTTCAGTAGAGACAGAACTAGAGTCGATCGTGCGTTCAGGACTGGATATGAAGATAGGTAATGATAAGGACTTTGATTACCCTTCGTATTACGTGTGTATTATTAGACGGTCTTTAGGACACGAATCCTCTGTTAATGACGTTCGCTACTTCCGAAACGCAGTGACAACTGGTTGACGCAAAGCATGTGGAAGTCTCGTGATGAGAATCGGAGACTTGCCTAGCGGGGGTTAGATCTAGGGACTACCAAGATGGAATGAAGAGGCATTAAACTCAAAGGGGAAAGTCTAGCCTATCGGATATCTCTTCGCCTCGGTTTAGCCACCCACACAACCCCCACCCCGGTCTGGGGTAGATATCGACTTCTACTACGTACATAACCTTGCAACCGCCGTTGACTCCATCTTGCAACTATCCACCTCTTTGGGAAACAATAGCCTTTCTGATTATTTTCGACACGATCTATTCTTTATTACCCATTCGTCAAGACGCAAGACATCAACGCCGCGCGTTCTCCCTGCTCCGGGTCCATGACGCCCACGAACAATCCCCGCACAAAGATACGCCGGTCCAGGCAAGGCTGTGCGGAATGTCGCCGGCGGCATCAGCGGTGTGACGAAGCCGTGCCAATCTGCTCTTACTGCAGGGGTGCCGGTGTCACATGTGTCTACACGCGCAACCTCAATTGGGGTGGCCGCTCATTTGATAAATCACGTTTTGGCGCTTGCCGGAACAAAGGGTCGGAGGTAGTGCAGATCGCTTCGGACTGCGGTATGGAACTATTGTCCTCTATTTTATCGGACTGTTAACTAATTGCACGAAGAATTTCCTCATGGTGGGTTCGTATACGGTCTGCGACCTAGTGGCCGGGTCCGATCACCGCGGATCAGGTCTCCTATCGCGGAAGATGGACCCGCGAAGGATTGTGACCCTACCGAGACCATGTCTTCGCCAACGAACCTTGATCTTATCAGTGATATCTCGAAAGGTCAGCAGGAGCAAGAGCAGCATGAGGTGGACTCCTCTGGCACACTGACCGGCTTGCAAGGCCGCAATGTCCTCCCGGAACTCACCATAGTGCCAGTCCGGTTTCGGCCGCTGCTTGATTACTTCCACGATGCTGTCTCAAGATCGTTATCTTGTCATAAAGGAATTCAGCATGACATATGCTCATCACTAATTCCCATCGCGGTCCAATCGTCCCACCTCTTGGCCGCCGTCCTGTGCGCGTCGGCCTGCCACCGGCGGTCTGCCGGCTTAGAACAGAGCCTAGACGAGATCGGTCATTTGCGATCCACAGCGATTCAGTCGCTCAATATTGCGCTAGTTTGCTCAGACCCACGTGAGACGGAGGCTGCTCTTGCCACCACGCTTGTTCTATGCATGAGTGAGATTGTGTCCGTGGAGCCTCAGAAGGACACCTGGCGATTGCACCTTTCAGGGGCTACCGCTCTTCTGAGGACGCTCGAGAGTGGGCAGGAAAATGGCAGCCTCAATACATCCCTTGCCTACATGAGGAGATTCTACATGTCACTGAAAGCCATCGCTGTAAGCTGCGGCATGGTGGAAGGTACGCAGTTCCTGGATGAGCCGTCGGGTAGTGGCGACTACATCGATGATCTCGCAGGATTTTCAACGTCCCTGCTTCCAATATTCGACGCAATCAACTGTTTGGACATGCTAGAACAGAAGCGTGTGCCGATTGATCCGGATGATCTGATCGAGAGAGTCCGCCAGATGCTGATCACCCGTAGCTCAACGCTCCGGTCGTCACTAGACCTCTCAGAACAAGCGCAGACGGACTTCTACCTACTTGACGAGGCGTACCATCACATGGCGTTGTTGCAGTTGTATCAACGCTCGTCACAGCCCTCGGCTCTCGCACAAGTATCCATCCGTCGTGTCATTTCTTGCATCTCGGACATGGAGATAAACTCCGGGCCATGCCCTGCAGTAGCGGCACTACCCCCTCTGTTTACCGTGGGTCGTGCGGCGACATCGGCGACTGACCGTGCACGAATACTCAAGTTACTTGATACCGTATGGACAGGTTTTGGGATGGGCAATGTTCTTGCTACGAGGGAGTACTTGGAACGATGTTGGGAAGAGCCAGAGCATGGAATCGGCGAAAAAGGAAATGAGGCTTGGGGATTCTTGCCATACTGAAGCACACATTATGCATTTTCCGTATTTACAGAGGAGGGATAAAATAATCATGCAAGTGGTCAACCTTCTGTGGTACTGCCTCTGTACTCCCACCCACTACGTTCCATGTCCTCACGAATCTTGTAATTGGTTTCGGCAATGCGAAGGACATCAAAATCAATATCCACAATGCTTGTTGCCTCCATCTCTGGCTCCAGTTTTCCCAGGCAGCCCAGCATGGGCATGGCGACTTGACTGAACCCCCCAGAGTTGCAAAGTGCGATTGCGCAGGTGTTCTCATAAGCACGCGCAACAGTGACGCTCTCGAGAAATATCTTTTCAGAACTTGGATTGAGCATTTTGCCAACCAAATCAATGTCTGAAAGATGCCAGAACGATGGAACGACAATTAGGTCCGCTCCGTCGGCAACGAGCTGTCGACATGCCTCTGGGAAGGCCAGATCCCAGCAGATCAGCAGTCCAGCGCGGAATTTGCGTCCATCCTCGCGGGTCAGAGGCAAGTCAAATGCTCTGTGTGGATCGTGTCCTGCCGTGAGGTGTGGACGTTCCGGGTGCCACAGGTTTCTCTTCTGATAGGAACTGAGGATCTCGCCGGTACCAGCAGCAATGAAGTAGGCAATGTTGACCATCTCGGTCCCGGCTGAACTCTGTGAAAGAGATCCAGCGGCTTCCTTGTTCACGTGGCAGATTGTACCGGGGACGATGCTGATATTGAGGGTTTTTGCTAGGGTCTGGTATTGAGAGAGGTACTGGCTAGACTTCTGAATTGCAGAGCAAAAGTCAGGATGATCCGGAACCCATGAGGTTAGATGATACTCCGGTAGCACGGCAAGATGTGCTCCTTGCGAGGCAGCATCGCTGATTAGCTTGGTAGCCCTCTCGTAATTGTCCTCTACGTCGAGGGACTTCAACATACGATTAGAGCTCAATCAGGCCTTGGATATACAGAATAGTACGCACCTTTGACTGGAGTTGGAGAAGTGCGATTCTGTACGTCTGACTCATATCGGCAGCCTGTGATTGCTTTGGCCTTGGGCAAGGTGGTTATCGGTCGTCTGACACGGAAGGACATAACATTCGAAGTGCAACAAGGGCAACAAGGGCTATTGATAACAAGTGAGGTTCTTTCGGTGTTGCTACTCAGGTCCCCACAACTGTAATGACGGCTTCGAGGTAGGCGCTTCCAAGCGGGCCTAGGCTAGACTTTCCCCTCCTGGACTAACCCGCCACTTGAGTTCGCACCAACGCCGCCTGCATGAGATATCCTGCTTGATCCTCTCTCCAGTATTCGAGACTGTGGAATTGGGAACATAATTCGGTGTAGAGGGAGACGCCCCGTCTCTGCCCAGCGCTGACATTATCCGACATAAAATGGCATTGATACCGCCTACCGCTCTGGCTGCATCATCCCAGAACGAAAAACAGATCAAGAACTGTGCTGGTGCGACAGCGATCTGTTCTGCTCTACAACCAGCCCCAGAAACCCAAGCATAGCAGACATATAACCAATTATGGCCAGCCCTACGGAGTCCAAGGACGTTGAACCCAGTGCCAAGCCCATGAAAAACGAGCATATCACAGACTGCAACGACCTCCACGCCGTCAACACTATCTCCGGGGGTTTTGTCGTTGAGAGTGAACACTCGAGTGCTCCCGAAAGACCTCGGAAGCAGTTCAGCCTCGTGTCACTAGCAGGCATTGGTCTTGTGGTTGGCAATACCTGGCCTGCCCTTGGCGGAGCCATTGGCACATCGATATTCAATGGCGCTGCCCCTGGAGTCTTGTATGAGTTCATCGCCGTTTCGTTGTGTTATTTCTGCGTTGCTGCCACGCTTGCGGAACTTGCATCTGCACTTCCTTCTTCCTCTGGTGTCTATCTCTGGGCATCATTCACCCCGGGAAATAGATGTGGTAGAGTGGTGGGTTACTTTGCTGGATGGTGGAACTGTCTCGCTTGGGTATTTGCCGAGGCGTCCATGTCGATGATATGTAGTGAGTCTACCAAGGTCACATTGCAGTATCAGATAGCGAAGCTGATGTTAATTGTCCGCACAAGGTAATCTATGTGTACAAATGTATGCATACCAGCACCCCGGCTTTGTTCAACAGCTGTGGTAGGCATAATTCCAGCCCGAGATTCATCATTTCCCTGCTGACTTCTTTCTTAGGCACGTCTTTGTTTGTTTCTTGCTCATTACCTGGCTGGCCTGCGCAATCGTATGCCTTGCCCAGTTCTTCATCGCACGCCTCAATATCGTCGGCTTGGTCCTTATCCTCCTGGGAGCCCTTGTCACGATTATCATCTGCGCGGCCATGGTCACCAACGGCCCTGGCCCGGGACCGGCCTCGAGCGCCACGGTCTGGAGAGGCTGGTCAGCGAATATTAGGTACCCTGATGCCATCACCTTTCTGGCTGGCATGCTCAACGCCAGCTTTGCCCTCGGGACTCCTGACGCGGTAAGCCATCTGGCCGAGGAGATCCCGCACCCCGAGACGAACGTGCCCAAGGCCGTGGCGATGCAGTACATTCTCGGCTTCGTATCCGGATTTTCGTACCTCATCACCATCATGTACTGCATCACCGACTACGATGCCATCGCAGGCTCGGCTTTCCCCATCGCCGAGGTCTACAACCAGGCCACGGGTCACTACGCTGGCGGTGCCGCCACCCTGGCTCTTCTGGCGCTCCTGCTCCTGCCCACGTTTGGCTGCACTATCGGATGTTATGTGACCTGCGGTCGTACACTTTGGGTGCTGGCACGAGATGGTGCTACCCCCTTCCCCTCGCATCTCGGCCACATCGACGCGGGCCGCGGCATGCCTCTCGCTGCAACTCTCACCTCGGCAGTCGTCGTGTCAGTGCTCGGCATCATCTCCCTCGGCAGTGTTACTGCCTTCAACGCCTTTGTCGGGAGCTACATTCTCCTGTCTACATCTTCCTACCTAGCTGCCGCCGTGCCGTATGTTCTGTACAGCCGACGCGTGCGCTCCAATGACAAGGGGCAAGTTGAAAGAGGGCCGTTCTTTATGCATGGCATCATCGGCTGGGTCGTATGTAGCTGGGCGTGTATCTACATGTCGGTGTGGTTTGTTGTTTACTGCTTACCATACTCGTTGCCGACGGTCGCCCAGGACATGAACTACACGTCACTGATCTGGGGCGGGATGACTCTGATTGTGACGGCTTGGTGGTTCATTGAAGCTCGACACAAGTGCGTCAGGCCCAAGAGAGTGCTAGCGTACATTGAGTAACTTGAGCACCTTGACAGATAGATTTAAGATATTGCCCCTACTTGTGATTATTTGGGACATTGAGGTAGTACGGATTTTCTGGTGTTCTGCTGCCGGGGAGGTGTGGTCAGCCATCCCACAAATAGTCAATTTTAGCAGCCTGATTTGGCGAAAGGCCTTTACTTATCTCTTTTATGAACTTGAAGTTCTCGTATAGAGTACACATTGTGAATAACATCGACACCAGTATCAATTGCTAAGCTCTACCTCACTTGCTATGCAGAGTCAAGCATTCAGTCGTCCCCGTCCGGTTAACATATCAAGAGACTATCTAAACCATAATTTTCTAATTATCAATGATCTTCTAACCTTGCATGAGAATCCGCCAACTACAATGCGATGAGACTGGGCTATCCTATCTAGATGGCAAAATAAAACGCCTCCCGATCCCTTGCCTTAGAAACCATTAGAGGGAGGTTGCTTGCTGGCCAGTCGAGAGAGACAGTTCGAATTGGAATCACCTCAGGGTAGCCCACCAGATAGATCCCTGCACTCACATTCGAGCCATCTTTCTCGACATGTTGCCAAATTTGCCCTAGCCACCAACCTAAAGTTTCTTCTTAAATGCGGGCCGTAGACCGAAAATGGCAAGTGATCCCGACAAGACGCAATTGAGTCGGAATTCATGCCGGAACAGGTAACATTCACTGATGACAAATAGTTGGCATTAGTCGGCTTTTCATGGTAATATTACCCCACTGACATCCTCTTCCTCGAAGAAGCTGGAGAGAAATGATGAGGAAGAAGTAGGGCGTCACTTTCTCGGAATAAACCACTTGGCACAAAAAAAGCCCTAGCCCCCTTCATTGGAACATTATGACAAGAATCTTTCTGTAAGCGTACTTGCGAAGTTGAGAAAGTTCTCTGCGTGATATGGGATAGCTGGGATTTGTTGCGACAGGCCTGGGCTAATGCAACTGGCAACAGGACAGGCGCCACTGGCTATATTGGCGGCGATGCGCTGCAGGTGGTGGCGGAGAAGCATCCCGAGTACCGCATCACTGCACTTGTCCGGTCAAATGAGAAGGGTCAATTGGTTAAGAACCGCTTCCCATCAATTGATCTTGTGTATGGCGACCTGGATGATTTCGATTTGCTCGCCGATCAAGTATCCAAGGCCGATATTACGTGCCACTAGGCTAGCTGCGAGCATGAAGGAGCTGCACACGCCATTGCGGAGGGCCTTTCTCGCAAACCAGCTGAGGCTCTAGGGTTTGTGATCCACCTGTCCGGGTCTGATCTTGTCTGTGCGTCCGACATCAGCGCAGGGACTCACGGTGAAGAGCGGGATGAGATCTTCGACGACTGGGATGGCCTTGATAAAGTGCTCACACCAACGGAAAATGCGCCCCACCAGCAAGTTGAGCTCACCATTGTTGAAGCTGGCAAGAAAGGCGCGAAAACCGCCATCGTTTGCCCAACGGCCATCTTTGGCCCGGGACGAGGCCCTGGCAATACGAGAAGTATTCAGGTACCTGAATTGGCATCTCACATTTTACAGAGAGGCTCTGCCTTTTCTGTTGGAGAAGGGAAGAACATTTGGAGCACACTCCATATCCATGATGTATCAAACCTGTTCTTGTTGCTCGTTGAGGCTGGCGCTCAAGGAGGCGGTCAGGCTGCTTGGGGTCCCTAACGCTTCTATTTCGTTGAGAATGGGGAATTGAGCTGGAGAACCGCTTCGGAGGAAATTGCTAGAGTCGCTTTGGAACAGGCGCTTCTAAAATCTACCGAGTTAGAACACGTGAATCCAGATGAGGCAGATAAGATATGGCCTAATGCGACCGCGTATTTGGGGACAAACTCTCGCGTCAGGGCACTTCGAGCGCGAAAGTTGTTGGGTTGGAACCCAGTGGGCGGCGATATCCTTGAAGACATTCCAGCGGTTATTGCCTCAGAAGCTAAGGCACTGAACTTAACCAAGTAGGTTGGATTTCACTCAATGCTATCCAGCGTATGCTTGGTGATAATGTGTTTGACCCGTGACGAATGGCTCATGCTGAAACTTAACTTGACCGACCTGAGCCTTGCCTCTTACGTAGTGATACGTCAATATCTTACATTTGAAAAATTGAAATATGTTCCTTGTTCTATCCAAGCAATCAACAATTAAGTCTGTTGGGGAAATGGTAACTGTCAAGGATGGGCCAGCCAGCCGCGATGCCGACGAGAAGAAGTGGAATAAACACCCCAGTCGTAACTCAATGAAACCGGGGACTTTTTTTGAACAAGATGTCACTGACAAACTTCCCAGCTCATTGAATACAGGATCGGAGCGGACAGATGGTATAGAACAAAGTTTCGCAGTATGAAGAATTGCACGATTGTTATGGAGAGAAGGGGAGTGGAGGAAGTTCAAGATGTGGAAGACTCTTGTGTATTCCGTCCCAAGGACAGCTAGCCTATTTCACCTGGCGCTCAATATCTTCTTCTCGCAGTGTCTAAATGCGAGGCCTTTGGTAGTCCTCTGCCCTTCTTGGGAGGGTCTGTTAGTACGTGGTTAACATGAATAGGGGGTCCATTCAAACAGTTCCGATGGATTCCAGCACATTTAGGGGTGCTAGGCAACAAGGCGGGGGACCAAGCAGCAAAGGAAGGTGCTGGCTATAGCCCGAATACACGAAAAAACACGGAACCACGGGACCGGGCAAGCTTGGCAGATGTCCCTAACATTGTCAACCGGAAGCAAGAAGCGGCAGCAGCTGCATTTTATATTACGCTGCGTAGCCGCCACTGGGGCGCCTGGGACAGCCTGTTAATAAAACCAGCAGACAAACAAACACAGCTGTTGCGCCAGGACAGCCATAAGTCCTAGGATAGTCTCAGGATATTACGGTTTGTCGCGCTGCTAGAACCAGGCACCTCTGTATATTGTCACTAATCATGGTATGGCAGTGCTTTCCCTCATTCATCTCCGGTCAAGTCAATCACGCCCTGTTGCCTTCCTCGCTTAGCGTTTATTGGTAGTTGTCTCCTTTGTACATGATTGACTTAAACTACCCACTCTACGGCCTCGGCATCTACGGGACACGAAAGTGTCACTTTTAGTAACAAAGTGTAATATATGACTTATAAGACAGAATGAAAGAAAATAAGAAACTTCTAGTACAGGACAAAGCCTGGAGATAGTGGGTCTTCTAAGTCAATGAAAAACCTCGTTTGCGCAACAAGATGCGCCTGGCCCTGAACGCGCATAACGCAGGCAGGAAAACCTTAGACCGGACTCTAGCCCTTAGACATTATCTTGGCCTCGAATGTTGATCTAATAATAAAATGATATAAGAATCTTAAGTTCTCCTCTTAAAGCTGACCTTCTGCTATTAGAATAGCTCAAGCAGGCTAATGTTAGTATTGCCAAAGGAGACCTGTCAGGACCTGACGCTAATGCACAGTGCCGTACCAAGCGCACGGCACAGAATAACGTTATACGAACCCACAGGTACGTACTAACGGGTGGGCCTCTGGACAAAGGGCTATTAATAGGGATATAGTCACTTTGATTACGACGTGATTAACGTGAACAAAAGATTACTGCGATTACTATGTGAATATAGTAATTAAAAGAGGATTACTAAGGGGAAACGGTGATTATAAACAAAGGATACCTAGTATATAAGACTAGACTTTAATATAATAACAAAAAACCAGCCTCTTTAGCTATTAATATATAACTTAATTAACTTAGGTCAAGATGGCAAAGGCAGATATGGGTTGTGACCCCACCTCTCCGGAGGGGAGGTGGGGGCGTAATTTATCACTCAACCCACTAGGTCAGTCAACTAGTGACGCAATCTGATATTATGTCCGCGGCAGCAAATGGCCGGAAACGGCCACCAACCTTTGGGGAGGCAAAAATTGACTATCTCAATCTGCTATTCCCTTTAGACTTCTCAATTTTCTATACGGTACCGAGTACAGTCATTCTATTTACACGCCACCAAAGGTCGCATTATGCTGAGGATCTGTTTAAATAGACTACCAGCCCCTTTCCAACCGCCTTTAGCGGGTGACCCCAGAGCCAACCCCTCAACTCCCAGCAGGTACCAATTTCTATCGAAGTGCTAGCAGCCACTTAAAGGTGGCTCTGCATTACGCAAACATGCACTGGCGACGCAATGATGACGACCAGGCGACGCAATGACGACGAGCAACTAAGGAGATGCTGTAGATACCAACCTCCTTCGCTTGAGAGAGTAACAATTCCCTCGCCGACGTCGCCGCGGGACCGTCAAAAGAAGTTCAACCACCTAAATCGAACGCACTCGAGAGTCGGTGGCTAGCTCATCTCTGCTTCCCGCCAAGCGGTGGCGGCCCTTAAATCGGTCTCCAGCAGTGGGAGTAAGAAGCAGAGGAGGAGGGAGATGGGGAGGAAGCTTGCGTTCTCACAAGCAACAAGAGAAGCGCATGCAGATGCCAAACCCAAAAAATTCCAAAACATCATCCTGTGATAATAGATTCCCTTGCTGAAGCGAGCAGTCAATCAACCTGTGGCGTTTTTAACAAAACCCAGTCGCTTGCGTTGTCCTTTTAGCTCCTGGTTCCTAGCTCCCAACTCCCAGCTCCTCATCCATCTAACCTCCTCCCATTGCCCTCTCACACGCTTCAACCTTCTTCTGTCAGCTTTTATCGGCTCACACTGACCTTGCCTGACTCTCATCGCATTGTCTTAACTCACCCTACTACCGGGGTACCTGACTTGTGGCCGATCGAACCTCCCGCTTATATATCTATCACCACATCGTCAGTCATCGCGACACCACAACGGTTCTCTGGCCTTGGGTTGTATTCACAGCAGTCACTTCCTGGAGCCCGATAGACATGGGGTTGTTAAATATGGTGAGCTAATATTGGGATGGCGTCATTAAGACGCCTAAAGGCGTCAAAATGCACACGCACACACCCTGTACCCCCTCTTGCATGGCGGGAGATCAGAGGCCACAGAAGATTCATTTGTCGCATCAGCTGACCGTTTGTGAAATGCAGTCATACTTCCCAAAGACCTTCCCTAGTTGCTTCCCTTATGCCGCGGCGGACCACGAGTGGCGGACCGGAACGAGGTGGAAGACCAGCGAATCCCCTGCTACGAGATATGACCCTGGAGTCTTGGGCCAAAGTCGTTAAGTGCAAGATGAAGCTCACATTGCAAAACATTTAGGTGGGCCGACCAAGATGAGTTAATCACTTCTCAGCATACTGCAGGGCCTGCTTCGTGAGCTTACGGCTTTTAGAGGCGAAGTTCACTGAGAGCTTTGATGATGGCATATCAAGCACTCAGCTAACAAGGGAGAAGAAAGACATCACATGTTGAAGCGCTGTGTTCAAACGACATCCTAGCCTGGCTGTCTAGGTTAACCACCTAACATCATTGTTCCTAATTCCCTGCTAACGTCGTCCTGGAAACAACTGCGTAAACCTGGCCCCGTTCCTCCTTCAGCTTGTAACAAAGTCGCCAGGAGGCTGAATCTCAGAGTTCGCATATAACCAGGCTTTTATTACAAAGACAGGCTAAAGGTGTGGGATCAATGCAGACCAAGGAATTGGGAATCTTAATGGGAAATAGTTATTGTATAATATGGTGCTGGGTATAGCACCTATCTGTGTTTGTACTGTGTACCGGTACTATCTACTGAGTTGCTTTTATCAATTTGCGAGGATATTGACTAAGGCTAAAAGGAAAACTAGAAATAACCAGGCTTTTTTATTACACCAAAAAACACTGCATCTCTTGCACAATAAGATCAGGAACTTCTTCAGGCATAAAGTGTCCGCTCTCGATAGCTTGGCCTCGGACGGTCTTCGCACAAACCTGCTGCCATTCCTTCAGAACGTCAAAATTCTTCGCGAGTAAGCCTTCCTTCCCCCAGAGCACGTAGAGCTCACACTGAATCTTCTTGCCATCTCTGATGTCATTGCGTTGTTGCTCAAGGTCGACAGTGGCCGAGGCACGATAGTCTTCGCACATTCCAGCAACAGCGCCGTTAGACTCGGCCGCTTTACGATATTCTTCGAATGCTGCGGCAGTGAAGATGTCAGATGGACCCGAGCCGTTTTTGAAGGCCCCCATGAACATGCTAAGCCACTTGCCATGGTCGCGCGAGAGCAGCGTCTCCGGGAGCGGGTATGGTTGTATCAGGAAGAACCAATGCCAGTATGCGGTCGCAACACCTCCACTGACGTTGGAGTACATGGCAACTGTGGGGCATATGTCGAGAAGAATCGCCTTGATTACTGTATTCGGATAATCGATGCATAGCTGGTGAGTGACTCTAGCGCCGCGGTCATGACCACAGACGAAGAAACGCTGAAAGCCTAGGGCTTCCATGACCGCAACGCAGTCGAATGCCATGGCGGACTTGCTATACGCAACATGGTCGTGGGTATGGGGTGGCTTGGACGAGGCGCCGTATCCGCGCAGGTCCACGGCCACAATGGTGTAGCGTGATGTCAACAGAGGTGCGACGCGGTGCCAGGTATGATGAGTCTGAGGAGCTCCATGGATGAGAAGTAAGGGTGGACCAGACCCTCCCTTGATGCCATGTATAGTAACATCCGCATTCTTGTCCGTTAATACGTTGAAGGACGTAAAGGTTTCAAGCATGGTGGGCGATGGATACGAAGGTCCGATGTGTGGGTGGATGTGATGTCGTGGCATTCTCTATTTATACCAGAACAGCTGCGCCTCACTCAGGCAAATTACTCCGGAAGTCTGTGCCCCGGGAGTACTCCACCTCGGCTCCTGGATCCCCTAGACGGACATCCGCGGGGCCCGACGACGGATTACATTAAGCATGCCTCGCCTGCTAACACCAAGCCGTTGTATGAGTTACCAGATAGGAGCATCGTTGAATAGGGGATATGCTGGTTCCAAAATTCTGCGTTCAGACTGGTGTTTCCTGCAATTGACACTGTTCTCTTCCAGGACAGCGTCAGGATGGCCTATGGGCCCTGGGAGGGACCGCTGTCGCTAGAACGCATTAGCGCTAAAGGCTGTGTGTTTATGTGCCTGGGATTCTTCTTTTTCCGCGTCTTTGTCATGGCGACTCGAGATTATTCGTGCCATCAAAATTGCCACGTTCAGAGGGTCTCCGGAGCGCTTCGGCCGTCGGCCAAACCCGCTTACCGGGCATGGCTGCTGAGAAATGGCGGCTAAAACCGAGTAGGAATAAAACCTGAACCTGAACCGTACAACGGCAACAGGATTCCGAGAAGACAGACTCTATTGATACACACCCAACTCTCAATTCGTACGCACCCCCCCACATTCAGCCACATACTAGCCACAATACCTCCCGATATCGCCAACCTTGCAATTCGCCGACAATAATATCCCGTATAAAGCATTTTTATAACTATTAACAATAACAAATTAAGCAATATTAAGAAGATAATAAATTGCCAGCTAGCAGCAGGTACTCTAGTAGTTCTTATAGAGCCGAGTTCTAGATAGTAGGACTTTATAGAACTTAAAAATTCTAGATTTCTAACCTCTATATTTTATTTAAAGAGATTAACTATATAGAGTATTAGAATTCTATTTAAAGAAGAATAGCAAAAGAATAAGAAGTAAATAGAGTATAATAGCTTTACCTAGTATTATTGTATAATCTAATAATAAGCTATTGCTATGGCCTTTTTAATACTGCTTTTAATACTCCTTCTAGAGCTTTTTAAACTCTAAAAAGTGCTACTAGTTAAATTAGCAGATAAATATAGCAATTCTAATAATTATAATAATTTCTATAGTCTTAATAATTAAAATAATTAATTTTAGGAGGTAGTCTTTTTCTTAAATTCTTTACCTTTAATAATAACCTATAAGTTTTTTAATAGACTCTTTAATATTTTAAAGGAGTTTTATATTAAGAATTAAATAAATTTTATTATATTATAAAATTAAAAGAATAAGATAAAGATAAGAATAATAAAATATAAGCTTATTTATAATAAGAGTTAGTATAATCTAAGAGAATCTACTATTAAAATATAGAATATAATTATAATAAAATTAGCTACTAATTACTTATTTAAGATTATTATTTAATCTCTTTAAATTAATAATTATAAATAATTTATAAGAATTATTAATTCTTTTTATTAAGATTATAGCTAATTAAAAAATCTTATTAAATATTACTATTAAAAAAAGTTAATAAAAAAATAAATAAATTTCTAGTAAATTTTTATTTTAATAAAATAATTTCCTATTAATTTATTTATAAGAAACTCTATTAAAAGTAATTAAAGATTTCTATTAATAAAATTGATATTTATAACTAGTAATAGAAAATTAACTAAATTAAATATTAAGGCTATAGTCTTATTAATAACTTTATATAAATACTCTCTAAGTTAAAAAAAATTTAAATATAAAAACTAAATTAAATTAAGAATAAATTCTACTTTTAAAATACTATTTAGAGATATTATAAAAATAGTAAAATATAGTAATAATTCTTATTATATCTTCAGATTAATATTATATATAATACTAACTACTATAAAATACTTTTAATTATTATTATAGCTATATTCTTAGAGAAAATATTTATATCTATTTATTATAATTTACTAGCTACTATTGCTTAGGGATTCTTTTAGTAAAAGAGGAGACCCTAGTTGGATTTAGGTTATACCTAACATAGTATAATTTGCATAAGAAATAATATAGCATTAATAGAATTGGAATGGTAATTAAAGTAAAAGAGGATTTTAATGAAAGAAAATAAGCTAATTAGTTGAAAAGGTTAATAGAGGGGCTTATAAACTCCGGGGGGGGGGGGGGGGGGGGGGGATACCCATACTTTGCAGGGGAAATAGCAGGAAATAGTAAAAGTCTATATAGACATCAAAACCAGCAAGACAACAGTAGTAAAATATAAAAAGAAAAGAAAAAGGGGAAATATAATAATATAGAGAGGTATAGTATATAAAAAAGGGGGAATAACAGATAACTACTTACTGGACTACCTAGTTATCCATCCTCTATCAGAAATAGAACACTAACAATACTTACAATAGGACTAGATAGCTTTATCTATAACTAAGACCACTGGGTTGTAGTCTGCCAACTATATAGAACATGCCTAGTCCCTAAAGCAATAAGCTAGAAGAGCCACCTACAGGCCGAGCTATACCAAATAGGAGGCAACGAGCTAAGGTTAACTATCAAGCTATTTTCAAGCTACAACCTACACCCAGTTGAGAAGCTGTAATAGTAAAGAGCTGACAAAACCAGGCCCTGCCGGCCAATTAATAATCTTACTATTTTTAATAGCTATTACTATACATACAGCAACTACAGCTACTACACGCAGTGGATTGCCAAGATATACAATTACATACCGGTATACAGAAGGAAGGCATTACAGTATAAGCAAGATGTATTACTCTAAAGAGTATACAAGCTCTAGATATACTTTACAGCAAAGAGTTGCATTAACTACTTTATTATTAAGGGATTGCTATTATTATTATTATTGTTAATATCAAGAGGGAAGGTATTAGTACTTAGATTACCCACACTACTATTATTATAAAAGAAGGGGAAGCTATTTAATGAGTTAAAGGCAGATATTGCCCAGGCATTACATAACCTAGATAAGAAAGCCGGAGTTGTATAGGACGTCAATAAGTTACAAGCAGACCGAGTCCCCTAGCTTGTCCATACTAGATTCCCTACTTATTTGCAGGGGCTCCGGGACGCTAAAATTTAATTATTATACTTACTTCCGCTAATTAAGCTCCTAGATCTAGACGGGGATAGTAGCGGCGACGAGGGCACCGACATGGACCTCATCTGCATTCTTGTCGCGGCCGAGGCTACCCTCAGGGACGCATACAGGCTCTGTAGCAACAAGTCACTTAATCGGAAGATAACATAGCAGCGGGCCAAGAGGTTAAGCGAGTTTTGTAATGCCTGCAGCTCGAGTAACGGCAAGCCTAGCGGGTTCTGCAGTTTTAAGAATGAATTCTCACTAACCTTATACTTCTAGAGGATAAAGCAGCTTCTCATTTACTATTATTAGGTTGTATTCTGCAAGGACGGGTACTTTACGAGGGAGAATAAGGACTAAGTATTGCCGCAGGACGTCATCGAACTAACACCTCAGCAGCAGCAGGCCATAAAAGGCATCATCAACACCCTATAAGAATAAGATAAGAGGGCAAAGAAAAAATCAGCCAATGAGAAAGACAACAACAAGGGCGATGCCAAGCTGAAGCATGCTATTTGCAACTTCTACATAGCCCTAATCTACTAGATAGTTGAGAGCAGGCTATTCCAGTTTACTATACTAAGCTTCTACACCATACTCAGCCAGAAAAAGACCTTAAAATAGCAAGAAGTAAAGAATAGTAAGCAGCTCAAATAGGGCATCTAGCATAAGCCAGGGAACTTTAATAGCAACTTATCCATACTTACCTAGACTGCTTAGCTCATCCTATTTAACTTTATATACTTTTATAAGTAGAACGATAAGAATGGGATACCCAAACTACTAGACAAAATATATAAAAGGTACTTCCAGCAGATAGTAGAGATATCCTTCAGTCATATCCTATAGTAGCAGCTCTATCTTTTCGCTACCTCTAGAACCGCTATTGCTAAGAATCAGGCATACTAGTCTCTCGACAGCCAGACAATCAACTACATAGAAACTAAGCTGCACATAGAACAGATATTACAGCTGGTCATATTGGAGTTCCACCAGGTATATTTACTTCTATATAATAAGCTGTTATTCAGTACAAATAATATTATACCAATCGAAGCGTAGAAACTATATAACAACCTAAACCTCAATAATTATAGCAGCTTGTAGCTAACAGATAAAAAAAACACCAAGATCCTAAGTAATATACAGCATACTCTACTCCACTACATCAAGTAGAGGGCTAAGCTGCAAAAGGCCTATATATAGACCAATCAGGCCGGTGTGTTAAGCCTATGTCTAAAGGCAATAGCCTGCTACAAGGTGCACGTACAAAAGTTCCTAAAGCGGATAGTAACGCTCATCTATATTCTGCCGGCTCCTCCGTTGCGGGTGCTAGAGCTGCTTTCCATCACCTATACCAACATAAATCGTCGTCAATGCATATTGATATAAAAGAAGATAGTTATAGTATATGTACGGTATTATAAGAACCAGAAATAGGTTGGTGCCGAGACAGAGAATATCCACTTCTTACCCCGCGCAATTGGAGACCTACTCTTAATATATCTAGCTCTAGTGCTGCTGCTGCGCTAGGTCTTCCTTTATCAGAAAAAGCCCGGCACCCTGCTATTGCTATACCTATAATCGAGCCTGGACGGCAAGGTCTGGAGGGATACAACAGTCTCATCCTGCCTTCACAAGGCCTGCGCGCGCGCCGAGGTGCTGCAGTTCCAAGTGGCGTAGTAGTACTAGGCTGCTACTTTCATTACCAAGGAGAAGTTCAGCGCCAAGAAGCAGGCTAACTTCAACCTAGAGGAGATTGCGGCGGCTAAGGAAGTTAAGGATGAGGCAGCCCTCGCAGACCTAGCCGGAATAAGCAACTACAGCTACTGCATATTTAACTATATCTATACTAACAGCACGATGCTAACAATAAGCACACTGCTCTATTGCGCCTACTAGAC